AAAATTCATACAAAGTTGACAACAACCCAAGTTCAAATCTATCACCAATAAGGAAAAAGACCGTGGTCAGTGGTTACACTTTCACCTGATAAGCAAAGGAAATTCACGGCCCAGTCATTTATCTTTGGACGCACTCAAAATAAGTTACATCCTCCTGCAACTTGGAACACAAACCAAATTATTGTCTCTTCTTTTTCTGTTCCAATAAGTTTTGTATTTTGAAACACTTAGCATTTTGAAATTGAAAACAGCATGTCCTTATGCCTGCTGAAAAACAATATCCCCCACCCCAACTGCACAATATCCAAATAATTTCAATATTTCTAAAAATATTAACATAACCTATAAATATGTTAATAAACTCATTATAATGTTATTAACGAAATCCACGGGGGGCGAGCGTTCTTCATTGGAAAAAAAGAGCGGCGGCGCTAATGCGGTCTGTCTTATGTGAAGAGAACATAAATTTGTAAACAGAAAAAAACTAACAAAACAAAAATAGATGGTAAGTGTATGTAAAAATACATCAACAACCACCACCAGCAGCCAATTCTCTTCAGCCTTCCCAGCACCCCAAAGAAATTCCATTCCATGGTAAGAAAACAAAAGTGGATAGGAAAATAGGTATTTGGATAAAAATAGAAGCAGGTGTTACGCTTGCTAGCGTTGGTGGTGGTGGCAAAAGGAAACATAAAATATGTTGCTGCTGATTGGTTGTTCGAGTGGTGTGATTTTTCCCTAGGTTTCCTTCTTCTTTTCAGAACCAGACCATTGCGAAGAAGCATGCATCCATTGAGAGGCATTAAAGGGTTGTTATGGTTTTTCTAAGCTAATTGTTCCAGTTAACAATTCTTGGGAATAACATAGCGCTGAACCAGATTACGGCACGTGTTTGGTATTAATTCCTCAAAAGTAATATTGGAAAATTAAAGAGTTTGTCAATGTAATGACAAAATGGAGCTTATTTCGGTGCTTGTAAGTGGTGGGAGGGTTAAGACTACCCAGAATTGTTTTGGTAACAGGAGAGTTTATGTATATTTAAAAATGAAGTATAGAGTATTACAAAGAAGATTATCTTATTTTCTTGCAGAAATAAAAATTCTGCTATAAAGGCAAACACCTTGAAAAGTGTGAATAATGCGGAATTCCCAAATCTGGATCTATACAGAATGCTTTTGAAAACAAATAAAATCGTCCGGCACAGCAATATAGACATATTGTCGGCGATTTATCTGCTGAAAATTTTATTAAAATGTTTGACTGTTAACAATAATACATAGACTATCCTTGAAAATATTTAGACGAATGCCGCTGATATATCAGGTAAAAAAACAGCTAGATTCGAATGGGCCCTTTAGAAGGAACTTGCAAAATGTAAGTTCAGTTATATGGGGATATAGGAAAGCGTGAGCCTTTCTTTCAAGTTAACCAGCCTTTCTTAACAGAGAAGGGCTATTGCAAACTCCAAAATCCAGCTTTTAGATAATTCGATTGAAAAAAACACCGAATATCGAGAGGTATCATTATATTTGGGGTATGCGAAGACGTGGTCCCTCATACCTCACTTTCTGTCATACAGGCAAAATGGTTGAAGGCATTGGTGCTGCCCTAACCCAATGATTAAACACTCATATAAGCTTAGTGACAAATTGCAGCGTTTTTCAGGCGCAGATTCTTGCAGTCAAGAAGGCAACCGAAATGGTAAAAGTATTCAATCGAGAGCCAGTCTTGAGTGCAAAAAAGCAGCATGGGTTCGGGGACAAAGAAATAAAGTGGATAATGAAGTGGCTGATAAAGTAGCCCGAGGCGGTTGCTTGTCGACTGATCTATCAATTGATGAAACTGTTAAATCCCAATAAGCTATTATGCCAGCTGCTTCAAAAGGGGTTTATCGAAGTAGCTGGAAGGATATGGTGAGAAAGGCTGATCTAGGTCGTCTTGCTGGTAATCTCAAGAAGAACAAGCTTCTTTCTATCACTTAGTAGGTCTGATCTAAGAATCGTTGTGGGAATACTGACTGGTCACTGCAGTATCAAATATCTAACCCCAAGATGGGATAGCAATACTCCTGACTTCTGAAGACGAGGAAGAAATAGAGACAATTGAACATCTATTTTGGACATGTTCCACGTTATTTAACAAGAGGCAAGACGCAGGTGGGAGATACAAACTAACGTTATTCTCAAAAATAAAAAGGCATTCCCTGGCCAGGCAGATCTTGTCTTCTCCTGCTCGATTCTATCTCTCTCCTATCCCTTAACAATTTTTAATTTCTTTATGAGAAAGGTTTCCACGTGAGGCCAAATCCCTGTGCGAACTCTAAATTCTAAATTACGAGTAATTTTGTGCAGCTAAAATAATCAAAATATCGAAAATCGGAAGGAAATGTTATGTGGTGTATATACGAAGTTGTGGATCTGTACAGGTAATTTTCTGTCATAGTAAATAGTGTCCACTGCGTACTCCCAATTATTTTAGAAAAAAATCCGGTGAGAAATTTGTCTAAAATTGTGAAAATACCGAATATCGGGAGGTGTAGTCATATGAGGCCTATACCAAATCGTGGAGCTGTTGAGGCAATTTTTTGTCAAAGCAGGGCAATTTGTACCATATCATTTAATATTTGTGGCATATTTCATTTAAAAGTTGACCACGACTGGTTTATCTGCTTAGTCCAATTTTGGCGTACTCATGGTTAAATTGTAGACCAAACTGAGATGTTTGACACTGACTATAAGATACCCTACACCATACCCTACAATTTTTTCAGAGAGCCTTCGTTCCAAATGAATCGATTTCCATTTAATCTGACAAAGGTATTTAATCTGACAACTCCGGTGAGAAATTTGGCTGAAATCGTGAAAATACCGAATATCGGGAGGTGTAGTCATATGAGGGCTATACCAAATCGTGGAGCTGTTACGGCAATTTTCTGTCAAAGTAGGGTAGTGCGGACCATATCATTTAATATTTGAGGCATATTTCTTTCAAAAGTTGACCGCGACTAAACCTCAAATGGTTCATTCTCTTAATTCAATTTTGGAATACTCATGGTTAAATTGTAGACCAAACTGAGATGTTTGATACTGACTATAAGATACCCTACACCATACCCTACAATTTTTTCGGGGGCCTTCGTTCCAAATGAATCGATTTCCATTTAATCTGACAAAGGCATTAATCTGAGAAAGGTATTTCGTATTATTTATCCCAGGAGGAACTTGAAGGCATGATGGACGGTTTATCTCAGTTGGGCAAACTTATTGTGTCGGAGTGAATTTTATATGGGTGGTAGATATTAAACTGAACTTACTTTTGACTAAACTTGGCAGATGTATGTCTAAGCTGTATGACTGGCAAATTACGGCTTTCAACCAAAATACCTTAAAAATATTTAAAAATGTACCATTTCGGAAGGGGCCTGGCAACTTCGATGCAGTTATGTGAACTATTTTAAGTCGTTTTGGCATAAACCGATTTGCTACCTCTTGTTATAGATATTGTCATTACATTTCAATGCTTTTCAACGGATTGCATGGGTTGTCGGTTCTTTTACATTTCTTTTTTCAGAGATTTGAAGGGACGTAACTTTGGGTACATTAAAGTGCCACTACAAAAAATAAAAATATAATATAATTCTATTGATCTGTTTTTGATTCATGTTGTCACAAGTGTACGTTAAAAGTGCCAGGAGTGCCAGGGAATAACCAGATCCAATTTCATTTGGCATTGAAGAGGTACGTTTAAATCGTCGATTCTGGTACTTATACTCAATGCAATTTTATTAACTTTGTCTCGGCTTTTCTACCCATATCCTACAAATAACTGAATAACATTCAGTAGTTATCGCTCTGGGACAGTTTTATAAATTTGATTGCCCTAAGCTCATGTTTTGTAATAGATTTTCTTATTGGATCGCAGTCCATACCCTATAATAAGATGTATTAATTTCTCTGCTATTGCTTATTAAATATAAACTTACCTTTTCTAATATTTTGCGCAACGTAATCCAAAGAAAATCAACTCCAAATAGTATTCAGGATTCTAATATATTATTCTCCAACAACAGCTGACTACCAACAATTTCAAGCCGCCAACGGAAATGTAATCACCACAAAACACATTCACTTTCTTGCTGTTGTTTGCACACTCACAATCAACAACTACACAAAACACTTAAAACATTTCGAAATTTATGAAACAATGATTTATGATGGAATTATTGCAAAATTTATACAATCTTTTTGCCAAAAATCCGAAAAAACCTCTCCAAAATAAAACTCCCCTTTATTGTAGTTGACAACAAGAAGAAGGTTGTTGGTTTTTGTCTCATGGCAAAGAGGTGGCATCACTCGCTCTCATTCTCAGTGCCGTGCACACAAACCAATTGACATACGGCAAGGAGAAATGTCAAGATAAAAACAACGAACGACATTAAGATGTCAAGAGTAACAGAGAGGCTTTGAGTGTATGTGAGAGAGAGAGTATAATAATCCGAGCTGGAGTACAGGCATAGAACAAAAATTATGAATGAAAGAAAAACACGAAACATGATGGCTGGACAAATGGGAAAGGGAAATATGCCAACAGGAAATAACATTTAAATACGAGAATGCTTCTGTTAAACCAAGGTAACCATAAAACTTGGTGAAATTTTAATATTTTCTTGAATGTAAAACAAAACAAGTAATATGAAAACAACAAATTTTTGCTGTCATATATTCTTCTTCTAGCAGAAACCCACACTCGTTAACAGCAACTCTCTCACACTCACTCTCTCGCATTGGCAATCTATCCAACAAACACATAATTTTCTTTAATATTTGACCAACACAAAAAGTGAATTGTTTTATGCTACGTTTTTGTTTCTTCTAAATAAACAACAACAAATGCAATTGCCACAACAACCAATAACAATATATACATATTTTTGCAAATCAATTATTTAACCAATATTTCCTTTTCATTTTTTGGTTTAAGCACTTGGTTTTTTTTCTTACGTTTTGTAATACACTTTAATGACGTTTCTTATTTTACTTATTTTTTTCCTGCTTTTATTTTCTTCGCGTTGTGTGTGATTAAAATTATTTCTTATTTTTCTTCACCTTTTTCACTCTGCACAAACACTTAACAGAACGCTTTAAAACCTCGTAAACCGAATATTTTGCACAGAAATTTTATTTCTTTTGTTTCAACAACACAATTTTGCCATTTTGTTAATATTTTTACCAGTTTCAACTTTTTGTATTCTTGTTGTTTTCTTTTTCTCTTCCAAAAGAAATATTGTAAAAAAAACGCCCGTAGTAACGAAACGCGTTTCTGCCGTACGAAAGATGTTCTCACATCAAATAAAAAATTTGAATTGAATTTGTCAGACTCTCCGATACTGAGTGTGCTGACATAAACAGTGTTATCGAAGTGCTCTCTCTCCACACTCAATGAGTAAGTGAGAGAGAGACGCATCAAAATCCAATAAGAGATGACATTTGTTTACATGTTATCGATAAATAAAAGCGATTACGTTAGAAGTTTAGGTATGAGGGGAGTTCACACATCTTGGTATGCTGTACAAATTCAAATTGATATATTTACAATTTTAAGTAACTATAAATACATACTGGTTTTTATAAAATGTATAAAGTCATGCGACAAATAATATTTAATATACAAAAAACCTATTCCTTGATTATTTCAATTTAGAGACGATCTTAAATATATGAAATTTAAAGTGAAAAGGAAAGCCAGAGAGACATTATCATACACTCACCACTCTGCAAAGCGTTTCGACATTGCTTATGCTGCTCATTGGGAAAGTTGTACTTTTTTCGAATCTATTGCAATATTTCGAATTTAAAGAATATGCGACTTAACACCTGGACAATCTGACCTGAACTGAATATTTGCACATTTGCCGTTTGACTTTCTGTGGGATGCGCCTCTTAGAGGGTTAACCATAAAAAGTAATAATAATAAGAAGAATGTTGCTAATCATTCATAGAAAATCTGCTATTTCTTAAAGTTACCTAAATGTGGAAATAAATTAAAATTATGCAGTTTCACTTTGTTGCAGTTTTTTTACCTCATCCTGTATATACGAAGCTATGTATTAACCGATTTACACCAAATTTGAAGAACTAGTTTATAGGATGAATTCAGTCGTAATTGACAAAATTCAGTCCATTTGGACTTATATTAGCCATTTGGTGCACCGAAATCGTTTGAAGATATATTGGAGCTTTATCTATCTATCTGATCCGATTATCACCAATTTCAATAGGGTTCGTCCCATGGTAGAAGAACACAGGTAGATGCATCAACCCTTGGGAACATTGATATGTCAAAAATTTTTAAATGTTTTTCCAAACATAAGAAGATTTTTATATGTTTTCTTACACGACGACAATCAGAGTTTGTTATTACATGCATTTCACCAATTTTTACAAATTCCAATATTTTTTCATTCAATATTTTCAATTCCAAAATTAGTTTGACAGTTCACTGTACAAACAGCTGTGTCGATGCGACTACCCATATTCTTCTACCATGGTTCGTCATCTCAATCGAATAATAAATGCGACCTGCATTTGTTCACAAGAATACATGGACGCACGGACGGACTGACATACATAAATCGACTTAAAAAGTAATTCTTTGAAGATCCTCAAAAATAACTATGGGTCTATCTCGCTTCCTTCTCCATGTTAAAAACGAATACACAAAGACATAATACCCTTATTACTATGTGGTGCAGGGTATCAAAATTTGACATATCAATGTTCTATTCTTCTTTCATGGAAATCTCATAAGAATGGGCCATAAATGTGTTGTTGTCTAAAATCGACTGTGCGTTGCCACATTAATGTGGTATATACTGCTGGTTTATGTATTTGCTAGTCAATAGCATTAGAGCTGCCACCTGGTTTTTCAGTGAAATAATATTTTGTATCCAAAAAATACCAGTAGATGGAGCTAATATTTTTGTGCCAGATTATAGTCAAAACAGAGTATTAAAATATAAAAATAAAATATTTGCAATCGTTTCAATCTGTGTTTTCTCGAAATACGAATCGAAAATTAACCAATATTAAGATAACGGGACTTGTGGAAACAAAGAGAAATCTATTCTGCCGGATGACGCAATAATGAAAACTGAACAGTACAAAACTCATTGCAAACATTTCCTTGAATATTAACTCATCACAAATATTGTACAAAAAAACTGCAAAAAAGTCAAACGCTATAATTTTTACATTTATTTTTTTTTTAAATTTTATTAAATGAAAGCAAAAAATCGGTCGAAAATAGCATCAAATTTAAGAATAAGTTTAGATTTGTTCGAATTGGTCACCTTTGGCACGAATTATGGCCTTCAAACGGCCAATGAAACCGTCACACGCTGCCCGAATGTTGCTCTGCGGTCCTTTTTTGGCACATTCCCGACGAAGCGCTTGCATGAGGTAATCGACACTGGCATTTTTTAGTACCAACTTTGCTCTCCAAAATACTGCAGACACCATAGTCCAACGGATTGGTATCCGGAGATTTTGGTGGCCATTGTGCGGGGGAAATGAATGAATGAGGAACCTTATTTTGTAACCAGTCTTGGGTGGCGCGTCCTTAGTGCGATGGTATAATGTCCAAGACATGCGGCCAAAATGTTTGCGTGCCCAAGGTTTTGATACAGCATCCAGAATATTTTCGCGATAATATTCGGCATTTATTTCGATGCCACGGTCGATTATTACTAGCGGAGAGCGACCATCGGCTGTTATGGCGACCCACACTATCACTATCACCATGGCTGGCGCTTGAGTTATGGTGGCCAACCAAAGGTGCCCATTTTCAGTTGAGCTCTTTGGCAAGTAAACACGATCATTTTGTTTGTTTACAAACTGCTGGACAACGAATGTTTTCTCATCGGAGAAAACCAACATCGGCAGTTCACCACTTTCGGCCAAGCGAAGCAACTCTTTTGCTCTTGTGAGTCTATTTTCTTTCTCTTGCGGTGTTAGTTCTTGCACTCTTTGGAATGTCAATGGCTTTACCCCGAGTTCACTTTTCAATATTTGCCGAATGGAATATTGCGGTATGTTCAGTTCACGAGCCATTTTTCGGCCACTGCGACGCGGGTTTCGATCAAGTCGCTTCTTTTGTGAAATCATTGAATGAAATGTGCACTTTGTCGTTTTATTGGAAATGAATTTCCTCTGTCTACATTGCAAATCGTCATCCTTTTGATTGTTTAAGAAACTATTTCTCTATATTACTTCCAAGTTTCAGTTACATTAATGGCATTTTAGCTAATTTATTTCACTGTTAGTTTTATAATTCCTAACTTTTTCTGCCATTGTCACATCAACGAGTTGTTTTTTATTTGTGTTTACAGCAACTGTAAAAAAGAGCGCCAAACGGCATGCCGTTCTTTCACATACGTCACAATCAGTGTTGCCGTTTGAAATTTTTATTTCAGTCCAAATTTTTTCTAAAAACCGCCCAAAATCGACCATATCCGCCCAAACTGTAAAAAGTTGAATAATTTATATGTAGTTTGTATTCAAGTAAATTTTTGTTGAAAAATTTACACTATACATAAAAAAGGTACTCAAGTTTTTTACATTCAATGTATTAAATACAAATAAAAATTTTATGTTATTTTACTTCAAGTTTTTTATATATATTATATAAATATTTGAAAAAGTAACATAATACAATAATTCAATGTATTAAATACATTAAAGTCATTACTATTATTCAGGTTTTTATACCCTACAACACTATGTGTTGGGGGTATTATAACTTTGATTGGGCCAAAAATTTTGTAACACCACGAAATATTGGTTTCCCACATAGGAAAGAATGTATGGATCTTCCTATCTCGCCGAGCTGAGTCGATCTAGCTATGTATGTCCGTCCGTCCGACTGTCCATGTTAATTTGTAATCACTCTACAGGTCGCAATTATGGCCCGATCTTCACAAAATTTAGAATGTAGCTGGGGTTAAGGTCAGAATAGAACCATATTTCTTTTGGAGATGATCGCATAATATTTAGGGGTTGAAATGGACCAAAAACTGAAAAATTTCTTGATTTTGCAGTTGCTCTACAGGTCACAATTATAGACCAATCGAAGCGAAATTTAGCATGGGGCTAGTGCTTTGAACTGGGCAGAAGCCTTCCAATTTTGATCATCGGGTAATATTTGGTGGTTTAGGAGACCATAGCATTTGCGATAAATAAAAGTCAATTTGTCCATTAATCCGCGAATATTTTTACTGCCGGCGAAATCACAAATAGACGAACAGGTCAATTCTGACCGTTACGTAGATGTCGATAGTAAATATATCGGATATATATAGAGTAATATATACAATGTATATGTACAAAGGAAGGGGATGTCAGCTAGAATGCTTATATCTTCAGAATGGCTGGAGCGATTTTGACAAATTTTGTCAATTTAGAATGCTCTTGTGGCATTAAAGTATAAATACTAAAAAAATCGCATAAAAAGATAACAATAATGATGTTCATATAGATTTTGTAATATTTTGTGAAATTTTTTTTCATATTTTTTATCGCATGCGATTTTTTCAAATTGAATTATACTATTGAAGTATTTGTTTTGTAATATTTTTTCACTTTACAACACAGATTAGCGTTATTATTTATATACAGATTACAATTATCGTTCGATTCTCACGAAATTTTTCACAAAGGTAGGGTTAGGCTCAGAAGAGTTTAGCCTATTGTTTTCAAAGATGTCCGCAATATATTTAGGGGTTGAAATGTTCCTGATTTTGCAGCCGTTATGGAGGTCACAAATAGAAACCAAAGGACACGAAATCTCGCATAAAGTTAGAGTTTAGGAAAGCGGGTACAATAGACCACTAATTTTGTGTGAAAAAATTCCAGTATTACTTACAGGCGATATCTGAAATACACAAAAGTGAACTTCTGGCTTTTTTATGCTGATTTCGTTGACGATGTAGCCAAATATCGGAGACAAGCAAATCATATAGATGAGTCTAAATTTGGAGGTAAGGAGAAGCTTCTAGCTTATGGAGATGATTGCAAAATATTTAGGGGTTCAAATTAACCAAAAACAGAAATGTTTTTCCGGTCACACAATTGAAGCCAATCGACACGCCTGTGAAGAGAGTTAAGGACAGGGAAGAATTCTAGCATTTTGGATGACCATTGGATTATATTTAGCTGTAAAATGGGCCACAACAACTAACAGCACGACGGAGTGCATAAATTTTGGGCAAATGTCCCTAGTCAAAATCCCAATTTCAAAAACGAAATCTTCCAATATGGATTTGGACATAAGGGGGCTTCTAACATATTGCAGTGTTGTAGAGTATCACATGGTCGGCCCGCACGACTATAGCCTAATGTATTATATATTATTAAAAAAAAAACTTAACAAAAATCTATAAAATAAATAACGATTCATCTCAATAAAAAATATAAAATTCAGTTAGTAATAAAAAAAATTAAATTACGTAAAAATAAACAATGAAAAATAAATTTGTACCCAACATGGAAAATATCCGCCCAAAATCCGCCCAAACCATAAAATTTATCTTTTTTCCGCCCAAATTTGGACGGAAACGCCCAAAACGGCAACACTGGTCACAATTGCAACGCGTGCATTCGCTCTTCAGAGAGAACATAGTTGTTGTTTTTCTTTCATTTGCTCTCCATGCTTTGCCATTAAAAAACTGGTCGAAAACAGCTGTTGCTTGGCATTCGTTTGTTTAGTTTGCTACCTGCATTCGTTGGAAGAGGAAGGGTAGAGTGGAAAATCTGTGTGCGTTGGCCGAGCACTGCAAACTATTTAGTATTTTGTTGTGGTTAAAAAAATACGAAAAATATCGAAAATACAAACAAAATATGTATAAATAAAAACAATAACGTATTGAATGTGTTATTTTTGAGGAAATATAAAAATAATAGTGTTTTTGCTGCAACAAATTTGTGATTCAGTGGTTGTTGCTGTATGTCATATGGAAACATTTAATAAACATCAGCTGGCAATGGCTAAAGAGTGGGCTATTGAAAAGTGAGTATAAATAACAACGTATTGTGCTTTTGTAATGCAGACAGGGTTGCCATAGAGGGAGTTATTTGAGAAAAGTAGTTATTTCGAAATGGTTATAATTGTCAATGCGGCGAAATTGCGTTCCGATAAAAAGGGAAATTATTGATATTCCAATTAGTAGATAACGAAAATTTACCTAAATAATTACACATGGGAGGTAATGGCTTTAGCGCGAATCCGTTGAAATCTGATATTGACATATTAATGTTGCAATACATGATGAGAAGAGATAAACTGCAACAAAATCAAACGCCATAATTTTTACATTATTTTTTTTTAAATTTTATTGAATGAAGCAAAAAATGTCGGAAATAGCATAAAATTTTAGAATAAGTTTAGATTTGTTCGAATTTGTCACCTTTGGCATGAATTATGGCCCTCAAACGGCTAATGAAACCGTCAAACGCTGCCCGAATGTTGGTCTGTGGTATTTTGCGTGCCCAAGGCTTTAATACACCCTCCAGAATATTTTCGCGATAATATTCGGCATTCATTCTGATGCCAGGGTCGATAAATACCAGAGCGGAGAGCGACCATCGGCTGTTATAGCGGCCCACACCATCACCATGGCCGGCGCTTGAGTTCTGGCAGCCAACCGAAGGTGCACATTTTCAGCTGACCTCTTTGTCAAATAAACACGATCATTTTTTATACCCTCCACCATAGTATGGAGGGTATATTAATTTTTTCATTCTGTTTGTAACACCTCGAAATATACATTTTGGACCCCACAAAGTATATATATTCTTGATCAGCATAAAATTCTATGTCGGTTTATCAATGTCCGTCCGTCTATCTGTCTGTGGAAATCACTCTAGCTTCCGAACGAAATGAAGTAGGTTTATAAAATTTTACTCAAATGTGTATTATGTCTGCAGGACTTTTGGTATTGAAAGTGAGCCATGTAGGTCCACGTCTTCGTACAGCCCCTATATAACGGTGCCTTCCGATTTTCGGTATTTTGATGATTTTAGTGACATTATTTACCGGAACTATTTTAAATTTAGTATTTGAAGTTCGTAATGAATACTACAGCCTATGACAGAAAATTGTCCATTGAGGTCCACGTCTAGCCCCATATAACGGTAACCCCTGATATTCGGTATTTTGATGATTTTAGCGACATTATTTACCGGAATTGTTTCAAATTTCGCATTTGAAGTTCGTAATGGATATTACAGCCTGTGACAGAAAATTGTACCTTTGCATGATAAACTTTACCTTTGCATGATGACTGTACCTTTGCATGATAAAATGGCAAACCTTGCTGGAGAGAAAAGACAATAGAATGGTGGAAATATGGTTCAGTTTGTTGTGACGATCCACTTTCTTTTGTAGCGTTTCTGAAAAACTACACTACATATTTCAAATTAATATAACTTTCATTTAATTTTGTTGCAGATTAAACTTAGCGGAATGTGAGGACCTAACATCATCACTAGACACTCTTTCATTCTACACATTTTCTTCACTGCCCTTGGAAATACTCTATAAAATATTCGACATATGTGACCTGAAAGATTTATTAAGTTTGTCTAAAGTTTGTAGACAATTTCGTCAGGTTATATCTCAAATATTACAACAACGATATCGATATTTTATTTATAATTATTTAACATTTAAATTCACACAAAATCTCAATGATCAAGAAATATCGGAACTGTGTTACTTGAGTGGCTCAACTGTGGAACGTTTAAGGTTCTCAACCTATTTCAATATGGATTTGCTAAAACATATCGAATGGAAGATGGGTTGTAATCCCATGGAAAATTTAAAATTTTTCATAAATGACAATTTTAAACAAAATCTCAAATATTTTCCCTCCCTCAAGGAGTTGGAAGTTCAGGGGAAATTCATACAAGATCAAACTATAATGGAGTTGGCCAAAAGATGTAAAGAGTTGCACAGCATACGTCTCTTGGATGGTGATAATCGTTGGCTGTGGGGTGAATATTTGGCTGATTTGGAAAATATTGAAAATTTGGAATTGAAATGTTGCCGTAATTTGGATCCAAATCATTTGTTGGCATTGGTACAAAAGCGACGCCTTAAATCGTTAAATATTGTGGAATGTGAACATTTGAAGGATATACCTAAAATGCAAAATCTTTGTAAGAATTTAACAAATCTACATACATTGCGATTGACCGCCTTTACCCAGGATCCGAAATTTTTAAAAGCAATTCTAAATTTACCAGCTCTCAAATGTTTACAATTCTTTTGGATTAATTTCATGCCATTGAATTTTGAGGAAAATTTCTTCACGGAACTTGCACAAAATCCCGATAAAGCCCAGAGTTTATCGCGTCTGAAATTCGAAAATGATCGGTATTATATTGAAGATGAAACACTGCAACAATGGACGGATGAAAAGTATGCCATAATGCGTGAGAATGTTTGCATCAATGGCCAGGCATGGCAGTGGTCTGAGGAGGTGTTTGAAAAAATTTCACAAACTTTGGAACATTTTTCCAATCTGGCCAGCTTGAAATTTCATTATTGTCGTTTGCTAAACTACGATCAGTTGGAGAAATTGCCCCAATTATTGATTGGGTTAAAGGATATCCATATATATGGCTCTCCTCGTAAAGATGATGCTCAATTCAAGAGTCAATGGTTGGAGGAGGCCAAAATCAGGTCGGATTGCCATTTGAGATTCGAGAGTTTTTTAAGTCTTAAGGAAGCTTTGGTGAGTTGGAGGTAGTTTTCAATTAATATATATATTTTTTTGATTTTTTGTTTTATTTTACAGAGTCTTCAAGACGAAGCCAGTTCTCGCCAGTTTTCATCCTACTATCGTCGTGAGCCTGTCATGCGTAGTATTGAGTGTCAATTTTAGCTAATGGATGTCAATAAAAGAAAATGTTTTTGTAGCTATTGCTGTTTTTAATAAATTTTTGAAATTATTTAATTAAATTTTAAATTTTTGAAACATTCGCTGACTTGCAAAGGGATAATCGGCATATAAGCTTTTTCCCACCAACTGTAATGAAGAGTTGCATCTGGTTGCTAATACACATTGCTCGCAGGGGTGGCTACACCATGTGAAGTGTTGCAAAATCGAAACCGTAATGAGTAAACTGTGGGTAACGATTAAACCACTCTCGAACCCTGGGAAAAGGATGAAAGGACCGCAGTCACGTTTAAGGACGTAAGGGCGACTGATCCAAATATTTACGTTATACTTTAATCGTAAATTTGTCGAGCACCCCGAGAGTGATAGGGTGAAACGAAGAGTACCACGTCTTATAAGATCTTATTCCGCGAATGTCATCCGAAATGCTAAGCTATCCAAAGGGTTGGGCCCGGACGGAATGTCAATGGTAATGCTGAAACAACTGGATAAACCGGGACTCGAGTATCTTATTAAAGTCTTCAAACTGTCGGTAGACACCCTCATAATTCCCGAAGCCTGGAAAGTGGGCAGGGTTGACATGCACTGAAGTCAGGCAAAGATGCCAGAAAGGCCTTTTTTATTGTCATTCACGCCACATCGTTTGATTAGCTTATGAATACTACCCTTCATCTGAGTTTGAAACGTTATATAATCAACTATAAGTGTGGACGCTAGTCGTACGTGGACCTCCGCAACAAGAAGTCCTACCCCGGTGGAGTGAAATAGGAAATTTCCAAGGAGGATCGTAAGTTTTCTGGAATTCAGGGCCCTTCAAATGGTTTTGAGATTGCGAGGGACATTAAAATATGCGAAACTAAATTAACGGTCACAACCTTTACCACATGGTCTGTGGGGAAGAGAATACAGATGAATATGTGGGACGAGAGGCACCTTATTCTGACCATTAACCCAAGATCCTTGGGGTGACATTAAAGAACATGTCCGTGCAAGGTATTGCTCTCTGTGATAAATTAAAAGCGGGAACAAATCTTTCAAGGCGATAGCCAGCACTATTTAGGGCGTGTATAAGGATACCTTGTTGACCTTTAATTAGACGATAGGTTGACTATGCGGCTCTAGTATTTAAATCTGCAAGAATGCCTTTTTGAAAACTGCTCCTCATAATTCCAGTGGATCATTTATATGAAGAGACGAACTTTCTTCCCATACGTTAGCATAATCATATGCTGTAGTCATCAGTGTGGTCCATCGCCTATCCATTGCAGCAGAAGAGCGTCGGCTGTCTTACGTTGTGTAGTTTTCCTCAACTGCGCTGAGGATTGTTCTGCCGTCGGAACGTATGCCAAGCTTGAACGTATTCTTGCCATTTTTTGGAAATGCAATTTTGAATTTAAACAAAAATTAGCGAAACTTTATCTTGGAACGACGAGTTTTCTCCGGTCGCGGGGATACGCTCACGGAATAGGGTCCCCCACAGAAAATGTATATTGAAGTAACTGAGAGTGAAACAGGTAGTTTGTCCGTTTACAAATTTGCTATGTACCGCATTATTATATTAAATTTCAAATTTCAGTATGGTACTTATATTGATTGCGGCTGTCGGCTGATACGGCTTGTTGTTCCGGTGATAGTTGTATGTGTTAGTTGTACGAAGACTGCTTCACAGCTGGTACTTGTTGAATGTGGTGTGGTGGTTAAGCTTGTGCAGCTCCAGGTCCATGACGGCTTTTCCACAATTCGATTTGTAAAAACTTGTTAGTCAAAGACCCACAATGGCTCTTTGAATAAGACTTAGGGTCTAAGTACATAAGAAGCTTGAAGTCATGGCTAGGCATATTTTGTGACATTTCATAAAGGGATTACAGAGCCGCACTAAAATCCTGCCGTCGTTTTCCATTATAATATGATATTAATGACTTCAAGCTTGTTATGTACTTGCACCTTTAGGCTTAAGGTAAGGTCACATTGAGCAAATATTTGACGAAAAAGTTCAAATATTTCTTTGCCACAATCTGACCACAAAATATTTTTGTAGGGCAAACACAAAAACAGCTGATTTCGAGAAAACAAAGTTATTTGTCTGCAAAGAAAATTTTGATCAATGTGGCCACAATGTGAACACCTGTAATCAAATATTTTCCTCTATATAGAGTAAACATTTATTTGACCTTACAATGGTTTTGTATGAGAAAACAGTGAGAAATAACAGCTGTTGCATCACTGTTGTCAGCTTTTTATATATAAAAATCACTTTTCTCAAGCAATTTGATATTTACACATTATATTATTATATTAATACCGCAAATGCATTGCAGATAACAACATACAAATATCTTTTTGTTCCTTTTCAGTTGTAAAGGAATTATTTTAGTTTTAATTCGTAACATTTTATATGTAATTTGAGAAATATGTTTGTAATTCAAATAATTTTCTTTTTTAAATTGAGAATTCCAATTGCAATTCTATTTAGTTTTATTCGAACTGCAAATGAAATTATTCGAATTAAAAATAGAATTCTCAATTTACAACTGGATTGAAATTCAATTCAACTAGACATATTCAAATTATAAACGCAATAATTTGAATTACAAATGTATTTCTCAAATTACAAATGGAATGTTACCAATTAAAACCAAAATTACTCGATTTACAACTGAAAAGTTGTATATTAAAATCCCAAGAGACGTTGGTCGCTAAAAGCGTTTTTATTTCATATACGACATTGACATGTAAAACAGCTGTGCAGATAAAAGCCAAAGGTTGCAAAGGAGTGGGCAGAGGAAGATATTTTTAAACTCATTGCTCTAGTGAAGGAACCAAATTGTCAAAATCTTTTATAGATCGATGGTGTTTCAGCCCGCAGTTGAGTCAGCAATTTTACGCAACATCCTTCCTCTTTTCTTTGACGCAACCATTCTCGAACCCATGGTCTTTTCTTTCTATTTTTCATGGATTCGTCCTCTTTGACGGCAATACATGATGCTGCACCACAACATAAAATAAAAAGCGTCTCTTCCTGCTGCATAACTTCTTTTAAATATTTCGACCAAACAATTTTTTGTTTTTTTGACAGTTTGATCAAACTGCTTTTAATTCAAATATATTTTTCAAATGTGACCGGACGTCAAACCTGTTTTGTCATTGTTTTATTTGCCGCTATTTGATGGGTGTTTGAACAAACAAAATTTGTCAAATAAATGTGAGCAATGTGAACACAAAATCAACTCTGTATGAAAACAACATTTTTTGGGAAAATATGATAAAACATGTTTTGGGCCAAATATTTGCTCAATGTGACCTTACCTTTAGGTTTTTTAGTTTAATTAGAATGGTCGAATTAAGAGGTAAAGCTAAGCAATGATATGATTAATTTTTTTTTCAAAATTATTCATTTGACAACATCTCATTGTCAAAATTTATATTTACAAATCCATTGTATACACACAAATCAGGAATGGGAATCTGTTTTCTTTGAAGTGAGATTTGACAAGGTAAATTGCAGAAAATGCAGAGATGGGTATGTTTGTTTGAAATGAATTTGCCTTCTTTAATTTACCATCCAATCAAACCATATCCAAGACCCACATACATTCAGGATTTCTTCATTCTTAATATCCAAGACCCACGACGGCACTTTGATTCGGCTTCAGCTCCTTCCGTTGCTTATATCCAAGGCCCACGACGGCACTTGGTTTTGACTTTAAAATATCAAAAACCCACTACGGCACTTGGTTTTTACTTAAATTCCGAGTTTCTTCCTTTAAAATACCCAAAACCTACTACAGCACTTGGATTTTACTTTAACTCGGGCTTATAAATTTATGTTTATGTCATTTAATATTCAAGACCCACAACGGCTCTTGGATTTCGACACGAAATTCTCACTTTAATAAATGTTTTCCGTACTCTATGGCTCGTCTTTTCTTTTTATACCCTCAGCCCCTTGGCTACAGAGGGTATATATCATCCTAGGTCTCTTTGGACCAAATCCGTTTCAGAACATCGATCTAGCGATGTCCGTCCGTCTGTATGATTGACTGGCGCGCAAGATAACTCTCGAAGGGAGTATCCGATTTGATCCAAACTTGGTACATCATAATATTATAGTCAAACTTAGATTGAGTTCGGAGATGGGAAATATCGGTCTACTTCTTCTGGTGCCTTCCACACAAAATGTCAATATTTTCAAAGAAAATAATTGATTGCAAAGAAAGATAAAGGATAATCCGATTTTGCTTAAATTTTGCGAATCCTAATATTTGCATTAGTTCTAGGTCAGGCGCGAAAATGGACAGAATCGGTCCACTCCATCAAGTACCTCTCCCACAAAGGGTCAAAATTTTAAATAATTACAATTCTTATAAAATGTGATTTAAGAGTCCGATTGTCTTCAAATTACACACATCATAATATTTTTATTATCCCAAGGTCTGGTGTGAAGATGATATAAATCGGTCCACTCCTTCTGGTCAACCCCTCACCGACAAAAGGTCACCTCACCCATAAAGGGTCACAATTTACAATTTCTATATCTAAATAATTCTCTTAACCAGAAATCTGATATGAATATGTAGTTTATCGAAATTTATGATTTTGCATCAAATTAGACATTAATACTCGATTCCCTTCAAATTTAGCATATACCAATATTTTTATCTGTATTAGATGAAGTATAAAAATGGAATACTTTGGTCGACTATGTCTGTTACCTCACGCATATTTCCACATTTTCCAAAAAATTTCACATATCTCATATAAAGTATAGGAAGTTGTCGATATAGTCCAAATCTGGCACGTTGTAATATTTTTATCAGCATATCCCATAAAGGGTTAACAGTTTCAATAATTATTACTGAAGACTGGGGGTATAAATCTATCAGCAAAACCGACTGATACTATTTAATTTGTTTTGTATTGTATTTTAATGTTTTTACTGCATTTATATAAAAGAGTTGACATTTTCCAAAAACTTTTTTTGGATTTATCGGCTAAAGAGCTATTTTTAAGTTTCATTAT